GAGCGTGGTGCAGCTCCAGCCCGCCCCACGCAGATCTGGGGGTACATGCCCCCAGCCCCGGTGGAAGCCGCCGGGTGAGCCACTGGACCAGCAGCTGGCCGAGCAGCACACTGGATGAGCAGCACACAGCTGCTTCCCTCACCTCTGGATGTGCTGCAGCTCCGTGCCGCGCCCACCCCACCCCACTGGGCTTGCTCCAGCCCCACACCCTCTCTCATCACAGGGGCCTTGATCCCCACCCCACCCCAGCCCAGCCCCTTCCCTCCCCTTCCACTACACCAGACTTATCAGCTGGAGGCAGCTCTCCATGCTGCTGGGCTGTGCTCCTCGCCACCTGTACTGCACTGCAACTGTGCGCATGCATGGGCCATTTATCAGCCTGATATGGCCAATTTCTGATATATTAAGTTTCTTTATATCAGTGCCCGATGCATCAGTGCACCTCTAATTAAGACTCTAGAAGTAAATATGCCAAGGAAGTGATATTGAGATGTCAAGACTGTAAGGTCTTTGGGAAGGAAAAATGTACAACTCTGAAATTATGCAGTGTACTGTATAAGCGAATGCACAGGCCAGTTTATTTTCCCCATGTTTGAAAGCCTATTTAAAATTTCCAGCGGCTCTGTGCCACTGATATGTCAACACTGCCTGTGCTGAACTCTGCTGCCAGTTAGACTTGTTGTAATAAACCAAGCAAGTTTCAACACCATGCATTTCTGTAAGTGCACTACAGGCATATCTTTAGTTCTTCTACTCGAAGTCACTGTTAATTATTTCTGGTTTTGAGCTCATCACCTCTAAATAACTCGGGCTAGAACTTAAATGTTGAAGTAGTTGTAGAAATTATCAACAAGTTACCTGATCCAGGACTTCTTTGGGATTTTCAGCTTCCTTCTTAAGTTTGATAAGTAAGCCTTTAGGTGGAATCAAGATCTGAAACACATTTTTCAGGAGATCACCAGTGACTGTCACACATAATAGTTTATAATTAAGTGCATTGTCCTCAGCACAAGTTATCCTGTTACTACAGCAGCAAAAATAATTCTTATTGCTGGATTCTCTTAAGCTAAATTCCATTTCTCTTCTTACTTCCCTGATTTTAACTATTACCAATACTTGGGCATAAGATGTTGGCTCACTCCCATTTCATCCTCTTCCTTACTTTTATCTTTATCACAGTAGTGCTTGATGTTCCCAACTCAGGGTTATACTAGACACAGTACACATTTTTTCCAAAAGAGCCCAAAAACATATATTCATGCCCTCTACCCAAAGAAAGGTATTTAAATAAGTGGTCATCCGTTTTATGTCTTTTTAGTTTGGCTATTTCCTACAGCTCAGTCCTTGAAATCACTTTTGCAGCCAAATCATTCAGTGTGGCACATGATATGCTATCCCAACAAGGGAGAAGTCCGCAACATACCTTGGTGTACTGTTCAACCAGTTTAGTGAAATAGTTAAAAAGACTATGCTGTGGTCGCAGGAAGTCAAACTGATAGTTCCTCTGTTCTTTCTGCATCAGCTGAGTTAAGAACTGTCGGCCATTTCGAGCTACAAACTGTGCAGTCAACTTCACCACATCCAAGTCAAAGGCAGAGATGGAGGGAGGATCAGCAATGAACTCAAATTCTGGAGGTGGCTCCTTTGGAACAACTGTCTCCTGGATCACCTGAGCTTGCACCTATGGAAGGGAAAAATGACAGCTCAATAACCAATCTGAAACCCCACCCCTATTACTTTGTCCTTCTTAGTAATGCTTGGGAAAGCTAATTCTGCCATGGTTTTTATTAATGGAAAGGGAAAAGGTTTTAAAAGATACCCATAACTGCAAGGAAGGCAAAGGTAACACTGCAAAATATAGCTTACTGTAGGACAGAGCTACTGAAGCAGATAAAAAGTTACTCAGGCAATAAAGAAAGTTGGGAACAGAGGTGAGAATTAGCTATACTCTCCTAATATGGACATTACTACAGAAAATTTAATCACTTGCCTTCTTTTGTTGGTAAGTTCAGCTCATGGCCACTTTCCATCTAATTCATGCTTGACCTAGATTAAGATTATTTATTTACATTTAATCAGCAGCCTTCTGTACTCCATACTGTGAGACTAGTCAATATAACTGGAGAAGAGAGTCTTGGAATAACTCCCTTGGAACATACATGCATGCAACAAGCCCCACTACACTCCTTGCAGTGTTCTTTCAGCGTTCTTGACTGAAGACTACATCAGAACAGAGGAACTGATTCCCTATAAACCAACCTTTGAAAAACAGCAAAAATGAACAGTTTACCTTCTGAGGAAGCTGTTGCTGGGTACTTTGCTGCTGTTGCATGACCTTGGGAACAGCAGCTGAGGGCTCCTGTGCCTTCCCCTCCTTGAACTCACTAACTTTGTGCCGGTAGTATGCATGGTAGGGATCATTAGGATTCAAGAAATTAAACTTTGGGTTGTTTATTTCATTCTGGCGAATTCGAGCTTCAAACTCTGGACCATTTCTAGAAGTGGGGCAAAAAGATTAATTTAGCACAGAGGGGATTCAACTGTTAACTCATCAGTTATTAAAAGCTATGTCTAAGCACCAAGTTCCCCTCAGAATAGAACATTTATTTGCGTAGGAACATAGCGTGAGTTCTGAAAAAATGCAAATAAATCATAATCAATACAGCAGTCAACTGCTGACCAACACATTTTTTACATGCAGGGATTTGGCCCACCTGTTTTAATTTCAGCACAATATTGACAATATATTTTATGATAGTTAAAATCTTGCATCTCTAATTGTTTGCATTACTCAAATTTGGCTCTATGTCAGAGTTATATACTGCTTATTGGCTGAGAGGAAAGTTTATGGATTAATGATTGACCACGCAGGTATTGCTACATCATAAAGTGCACAAGCACTAAAGAGAAAAGTGTTCAGAGCACAGCATTTTGCTGAGGTTCCTTTAAAAAGAAAGCAAAAACCTCAATATCGTGACATTGCTTTTAAGAATGCTAGAACCATACTTAGTAGCTAGCTGAATTTCTACCCCCTCCCTTAAACCAGCCACCACATTTTTGTCAAACAAGTCTGAGAGAGTTCACAGATGCCTTAGTTTCCATCTGTAAAACTTATATAGGCATAAAGCTTTTTCCCCACAGAAATGACATTATGCCATACCAGCAAATGACCCATAACTTCTTCCCTTTCCCTGCCCTCCCAACCTCCAAACAGCCATAAATAGCCAGTCAGCCCACTCAATAGCACTTGTATACCATATTTAACCAAATGCAAGATGACTCTGAATTTAAGATGCCCGCCCCCCCCCCAAGTAATCAGATTCCATATAAGGAAAATTTATTGCATCATTGGAAATGATAACATCTAACATAGTAAAGGGTAATCTTAAATTTGTCTCCCCTCCACTGCTACAGTAGGTAAAGTACCGGCAGGGGGCCAGGCATCCTCCTTGTCTTCTCCCCATCATCCCTCCCAACTTCCTTCCCCTGCAGCCTGCCCACATCCCCCTCACCCTATGGTATCTGAAAGCCCTGAGACCTGCCTCTCAACAACCTCTGCCCCTCCCACCCTTACTGTTAAACACTCCTAGGGAGGGAGGGGGCAAAGGCTGCAGAGGCAGGTGAAGACAGGGGAGAGGGGAAGTGGGGGAGGGGAGCATGTGGCAGCTGTGACTCTGACCCTGGCTCCCACCTGGGCTTGGGGCCGGAGTCAAAGCTGCATCTGCTGCCTGCCCCTCCATACTCAAATCTAAGATAAAGCCCACCCCCCACAATGCTAAAGGGGGGGGGGGGGAAACAAAGCCTCCTCTTGGATTTGCAAAAAATTTTCTTCCCTGTTTATATGAAAATATTACAACCTAAACAATTCTCAAGGGTGACATTTATACACCCCACAGTGTACACAATCATGCTTAGAGGTACATTACAACTGAAGACTGCAGCCATAATTTCAAGCATCTTTAGATCACATTTTAACTTTTTAAACTTGATATTTAACAACATCCCCAAAATGTTGAATGTCTCCTACTAGACTTACTGCATACAGACTGAATTAGTGCAAGGCCACATACTCACACTCCAGCAAGAAAAAGGTGAGAACAGTAAAAATCTTTGTTATCCGGCATTTAACTAATCAGAAATTCAATTAACTGTAATTTCTGGCTGGCCAGCTGGATGCTTGGGGGGGGGGGGGGGGGG